TAAATTTACAGTTTCTAATATCTATATGATACCTATCAATATATAATATATATTTCAAATATTGAATTGTTATGGTACTTTTCTTTGTGGTAAAAAAAACTAACTACAAGAAAAAATTTAGACAGGTAAATAGTTCATTAGAAAAGTCTAGTCCACCAAAGTTCAACTCAAAATTAAGTCCTTAAAATTTTAAAAGTTGAAATTTGAACGTCTAAATGTTGAATTATTGCTATAAATTTAAAATTTTCTTTATACTTATTTGAATTTCAATAGTTTAATTACTGCTTAAAAATAAGGAAAATCTCATTCGCATAAAATTCAAAATGGAATTTACATAATACTAAATTGTGTAATAATACACTAAGTTAAATAATATTAATTTATTTTGCCTTTGAATTAAAAAAATATATATATATTAATTTATTGAATTGAATTACCAGAAAAAACCTAAGAACACCCCTTCTTTTCCTTTTATTTTTCACAATCAAAAGATTCTTCCGCAAGTTTTCCTTTATCACTTTCATTTAAGAATGAAATTCTCTCTTCTTTTTCCTTTTTTCTTTATCTTTAAAAATTGAAACTTCGTAACCCCTTTTCACATGGAACAATCGTTCTGTGGGGTTAAAGAATTTCGAATATAAATGGTTCCTTGCCGTGTGGTGAGCTCTAATACTTTTTCTTTGAAAATTATTTATTTAGTTGTGTTGTTTTTTTTTTTTTTTGTTTTTTTTTTAATTGCATTAAACCTCTTACCCTGTTGCATAAAGTCATTGAAGGCCTGTTTGATATATACATCTCGTTTGAGTCTTTATTTTTAATAAGGGTGATTACGGAACTCGATATATACCAATTGATAAAAATTAAATCTAATTCAATTTGTAATATAATTTAATTCGATCCAATTCAATTTGTAAAATATCGAATTGGATTAGTTTTACTCAGCCTAATAAATTTTTTTTATGTTTGACCATGCTCTTACCCAAAATATGTACCCCAAACCATTCCAATTATAACAAGTGAACCAATTACATAATAATATTCAGTAATCTAAATCTGATAAATGTAATTATTATATTTATATTTAATATTTGTATATGATATATTCTTAATGGACCGGATTAATGCATCGATTAAATTTTAGAGACCTTAATTCGTGATCTGAACCCTACTGATTTTATTGAAACGTGACACTGAAAATTCTGTCCGATCTCGAATTCTTAATTTATAAATTAACGACCAAATAATGAAACCAAAAATTCAATTCAATCCGCAGATCAAACATAGTTATAGAAAATTGCAAGCAAGCCAATGGAGTGGGCATCTGACGTGCCTCTCTTTCTAAAGCGTCAATTGGAAATGTATTGGGATTCTTTACCCAAATTGAGGAATCAGATAACTATTTTTTTTAATATTTCAAATTCTTTATCATTACTTTTGAGGCCAAGGTTTCTTCTTTTGAACTTAAAAGTGACTTGTTAAACTCAAAAATATTCTTAAATAAAGTGTCAGTTTCTTTACTTTTTGTTCAACTTCAACAAAGAATTCTTAATTTATTAAGGGTCAAATTAGGAAACACATCTAAAATATGTTTATAGTGCATATTACATATTTTACGTTGAAAAAAATACCTTTAAAGTTTTAATTTAATGCAAATAAGTCTACTGACAAATTTAAACTATAAATTGACTAAATTACTTTTATTAAACTATAATGGGATTCTTTACCCAAATTGATGAATCAGATAACCATTTCTTTAAATATTTCAAATTCTTTTTCCTTACTTACAAGCTAAGGTTTCTTTTGAACTTAAAGTGATTTGTTAAACTCAAAAATATTCTTAAATAAAGTGTCTTATTACTATTATATTTAATCACTTTCTTTACTTTTTGTTCAACTTCAACAATTTCAGTGGATAGGTAGTTGAAGGCCTCTCACGCAGAGGATATGTAACATGTTCATATTCCAAGTTGGTCGCGCGAGGACGGGAACGCAGAGCTTTTTCTTTTGGAAACGGAACCATGAAATGTACTGGTGTAAATTTTTGACCACATCTTTATTTCATTTACATTAAAATAATACTTACCCTTGTTTGGAATCAAATACTTTTAAAAATTAAAATTGAAAAGAAATTAAATTGTAATTAAAATAATATTTTATTACACGTTTTGAAGGTATGTAATTTGTAATGTGTTTCTAGAACGAAGAGTCTTGTGGTCCGTTAATATTTCTCATATTTCTTAAAGTAGATGGTGAGAGTTAGAGTCTTCAAATGAACAAAATAAATATAAAAGTGATGTATGTGAGTTTGCCAAAACAAATAATAATAATAATATTATTATGATATTTGTAGGAAAGGTAATTTGTTAAGTAAAGTGGTTAGTTATCACATAATAATAATTTGCCTATTCATGAATTTTGAGTTGACGTACGTGTTAAAAAGGCTTAATAAATTATATTTCTTATAAATAAACTCAATTAATTTGTTCTTTTGAAGACTCGAATTCTTATCGTCCACTTTGAAAAATAAAGAAAATATCACTTAGTCACAAGACACATTATAATAAACTCAATTATGAAACAAATGAAAATTCATACAATGTAAATATGAGAATTAAAAAGCAAAAAAATAAAAGAAAAAATTCAAATAAAACACACTTTGTAGGAGTCCAGCTAGGCACCGATGTATTAATATAAACTTATTCGACTCCCTTTGAAATCACGAAAAGTGTTTTAATGAGTAAAGATTGAATCTTTGAATGAAAATATCTCAATTAAAATACATTTTAAGTCGATAGATCTTTTTAATGTATAAAGATCGACTCTCTGAAAGAAAATGAGAATTTTTAGTTAAACTTATTCCAGTCTCCTTTGAAGTCACGAGGAGTGTTTTTACTGGGTAAAGAATAAATCTTTGAATAAAAATATCAATATACCTTTTAAGTCAGTAGACTTTTTTAATGTATAAAAATTGAATATTTGAATTATATATATATATATATATATATATATATATATATATGTATTAATATTCTATTATTTTTTTCATTTTGATATATATAGCTATAAAATTTAACTATTGTTCCACTAAAATTACTTTAAAAATACACTATTACCCTTCTCATATAATTTTCTAAGTCCAGTCCCACGTCCTGAGTCCAGCCCCATATTCGAACGGTTAAGGAAGTAGGGTGGAGAGCTTATACCATCCCGTGCTCAATACTAAAATATATTGATGGGCTTATGTGCATTTTGAGTGTTCAACCCTCGGACAAAATATGATGGGCTTATATGTGCATTTACTTTAACTTACGAAAAAATATAATTAAACAAGTTGAAGTGGTAACCGATAATTTGATACGTTCCATCACGTAGTTCTCTACAATGTCGGAACTTCCATTTCATGTATATCATTGCTCAATCCAATTTAGTATGACTCCATTTGACATCTGCATGTACATGAGGAGAGTTGAATTCGAGAGTCTTTCAAATTTGTATAAAGCTTATGAAGTGACATTATAGATTTGTCAAATGTAGAGATTTTGACATGATTAGAGAGTAATGTAGAATTGTATCTAAATAGATAGGACCTCTATCGAAGGAGTGGAGATCTCATTTCTAAGTAACAAGAGAGTGATGAAAAACTCCAACAGCGAAAGTAAGTCATCAAGAGTGGCACCCTACATCTTTGAAAGAGAGTAGTAGTAGTGGGACATTTAAAGGATGGAAAGAAAAGAGTACATGTGCGAATATTGAGGGGCTAAGTCACATGTGAATTTTTAAAAATGATAAACTAATAATTTTTTTTTTTTTTTTTTCCCTGTAAATCAAATGATCCAAGAAAAGTTGTTTATTCTATTTTTATTTCTATATATTAATTGAAGAGAAGTTCTATATCCATATCACTGATTCAAATATTTGCTAGGTGGTTAGAATAAGAAAGGATATAAAATAATATAGTAATAATAATAATAAATAAATAAAAGTTATAACTTTTACTTTTGTGAAGTAGCATGTACGCATTCAGGAACTATGTGCAATTGGCCCTGATTTTTTTTACTAATATACCATGCTATTTTTTCCTTTTTTGTCAATATATATTCATAAAATATTGTTAATGCTTCCTTTAAAATTATAACAAAATTTCAATCTTTCCTCCTACCTAAAGTTCTGAGTGGGTTCAGTTGGTTTATATTAAGTTATTTTCATCAACTTATTTATCTTTTTATTTTTTATTTCTAATGGGTGGGAGAGTAATTATTGTGACTCCCATTTTCATGGTTGATGTATTCAATATAATCTAAGTCACCCAATTTTTATAAATGGGTATCGCTCTCCCAATTTGCGCCACTCCCGCTTTCACACTCCGTGCGCTCTTGGTCCGATTCTTATTATGTATGAGTCGGTATGACTTAAATTTTGTCGCTTTCACCCTTCTTCTCATGAACTCGCACCCGTGAATTAGAGTATCACACCCCTAGGCGGATGGAATGGGGCCCATTTGGAGGATGACTTTTGCCTTGAGATTAAACTAGAACAAATCAGAAGGGCTGAACCTACTCATTTGGGAATAACATGAGGACAGTCAGCAAAGCCCAATTTTTACTTCTATCTACTTTGCAATGACGACTAAAACTACATGATAGGCGATGTCGCAATGTTTTCTATTTTCCAACTGAAAATTCAGCAATTATGATATTATTGTCATTCAAATAAATACTAATTTTAATTTTTATTGTTTTTAGTAAAATGTTCAAATCCACTGTTGGATCAATCACCAATCATTATATTTCCCCAAAAAAACGAAAATTTCAAAAATATATAATTCGCTTCTGAATTCTTTTGACCCCTCAACCAAGTCCCCAAAGTCAAACCATTTGCCTGCCATGATCATACTCAATTCTAAATTTCTAATCAAACAAGAAAGCTTCATTGTAAACGGTAGCAAGAGCTTTTATTTATTTGATTACAAGAAGCCGAGTTTTTTTTTTGTTTGCCTCATTTCCTCTGCAAATTAGGAAGTTACTCTAGTTGTTAGAGCTAAAGCTCCAAACCAGCCCCATTTGCCAATCCTGCCACCAGAAGTTTGTTCTTTAAGCTCCAAAGTCCTTCGATCTTCGGGAAGGTAGTTATGACAGTTGATAGTTTTTGGCTCTCTTTCTCAATTCTGGGTCCTATTGTACACTGCCCTTGTTAACATTGAGGTAATCAACTCTCCAACAAAAAACTATTCAATCAAAGCTCAAGATTTATTCTTTCAGACATTCTTACGATATCCGAATAAATCCTATCACCTCCCAGTTCTGCACCAGTAGCTCCAGCCACAACCCGCAAAACATCCTCAATCAAGGCAACATTTCCCATAATGTCGACATGGCCACCACTCTCTACACCCCTTCCCTCTAGCAGGCTTGCTGGCGGCTTGTGCCGGTATTCTCTTATGTATGTAGCAATGCCAGATGGGTTGAAACGGGTTTTTCCTTTCCACCCCTTGGCACACATGAACCCTGCGCTTAGAACGGGCACGCTCTCATCACCGTCCATGAAGTACACTCCCCCCTTCAAGCACCCATTGTCACTTCCATCGGCTGAGCTATCGATTTGGAAAGGAATGCTCTTGCACCTATTGGATGGTGACAACTTGTACACGTAGGATCTTTCGGTGGGAATTCCAACTCCATATAAACTGTAAATCTCCATATCGGGAGCATCAGGTAACCTGAAAACATATTTCTAATTACTACAAAGAAAAAAAATGATCTCTGAAGTGAGGAAAAGCAACCACAATGATTTCAATGGTTAAATTTTGGAGCATGCTAACAATTTAGGATTTGGGAATTACACGGTAATGGGAAGCCCATTGTAACAACAAAAGGTTTGATTGAGGCTACAACCTTTAAATAAAGCAAAATAAAAAAATATGATTCATGTAGCCGATCTCAATTAGTTGGAAAAAGACTGTTAAGTATCATAACAACAAAAGTGATTCAAGAAACACAAAGAAAGTTTATGGTGAATTGAGAGGGAGGGGGAGGGGAAGTACTGCTGACCTAATGAGAAAGGGGAATAGCAACGTTCATGGACAAATCATGAGCACAGTATCTTGTGAATAATTTATGAACAATACGACTTTAAATGAAATATAAGTCGCACGTTAACTTGAACATTTTTAAATAAGCTAAAGTTTGTCGAAGTGATGAGATAGAAGATTGTGCATACTTACTTGGTCTCAAGTGGATTTGACCAGTACTTGTAATGCGAGTACTTCGGATCGTCTAGATTCTCAGCTATTCCATGAGAAAAGTGAGCCTCAGCCCGTTGCATCATTTTGGGAGCCACATAGCGGAGAAGATCAATTAGAGTGTTTGCCGTGTATGCTTTGTTTTCTGCAACTTTCCTAATGCTTTCCCGGCTCATCTCATCATATTCTGTCCGTGTTTCTCCACACGATGCATCAGAATTAGTGGAGGTAGTAGGACGTACAAATTCCTGTTTCTGAGTAAGGTTTTAGCGAGATATTCTATATTAGAAGAAAAAAAGAAAAGAAAAAAGAAATGATATTCTATATCAAATATAGAAAGCAAGATTAGTAGCTATTGGGAACCACAAGTCAAGCAAATGGCCAACAGAATTAACAAAGTTAAATGTAATGCTGCCTTCCTCTACTGCTCTGGGCATCATATGGGAAAAAGAGAAGGAAAATAAGGGAACTATTTCTCCAATTTACATGCATGATAAACTATAGTTGTGTAGGCAACTCTGGGGTGCAAGCCACCATTATGATGGGCTACACACACACAATCCACTAAAAAGATGACTTTGGCACTTGATGTTTTCAAGAGCAGCCTGCATACCTCGAGGCAGAATGATCCTGAAGTAAAATTTGTTTCGTTTGTATTATTACGTTTTTTATTATTATGTTCCATTTAATTATTTCAAGTAATGTCTCTGTTCCTAAAAGAAGCATGCACACCCTGCTCCATAGGAAATGTATGGAAGAAGCCTTTTTTGTCGGTTTAATAATCGGGAGAGGTACTGGTAGTGTTGTTTGGATTTCCCAAGGAGAAATTTCAATCAATTTTGTTTGACATGGCACTGGAATACTAAGATAGTGAAACATTGGATTCTAATTAAATTCCCTTATTTACAATTTTGTGAATGACAGAATTAGAGAGTCACCAAAAACGCTCTGGACTCACTTAAACTCTATCCAACTCCCATCTGACATCCAAACCCCCCAACATAAAAATAGAGGCCCTAAATTGAAACCTCAGAATCAAAATAAGCACCAGCATTACAAACTAGAGCACTGGTATCAAATTTATATCACATCTGCATCACCCATTCACCCTATGAATTTTATCAATTTAGGGTGATGCAGATTTGATTGTCAGTTTAATCAGAAAACAAAGTTTATTCAAGATATCGCACCTTTGAACCAAGAGAAGGATGTTGTGAAGAAGGTATTTCTGATGCCGCCTTCCCAAAAGAGATTATCCTTCCATACTTTGTGGGCTTTTTTACTTTGAAACCTCTCTTTTCATCATCATCCTTGGTATTATTTTCACTTAGAGGGTGTTGCGAGTATCTTTTCTTTGCAAAATTGCAATCGTGTCCTTCTTCTGGAGACCAATCCAAGTTACCCCAAATGGTCTCTCCTCCTTTTGGCATCAACGAAATGATAGAGTCCCATGTTCGAGATACTCGCATGACATGTTCCAGTGTTTGAAGCCCAAGAATCTCAGAATCTAAAAGACCAGGAGCCATAGCTCTGCAAGATCAAATAAAGGTACCGACTCCATCAATAAATAAATAAATAAAGGTATCGAATCCATCATGCACTAAGCACATTAACTTGTAATTTTAAGTTTTATTTTTTAATTTATGTGGCTAAGCCAGGCAGATTCTAAAATCGTTAGTGTGCTGTTTGGACATCACAGAAAGTGGACTGATCAATTTCTTTTGTACATTACTTTTGTCTTCATAGCAGTTGAAGTTAACCAATAGTACCATTCAGGATTGTCCTTTATAATTCCGCAACGTCATCTCCTTCGGGTCCTTTCCAATTGTATTGTTAATATGATAACCTTCAGGTCATTCTAAACAACATGACCTACTTCAGACATTCAAATGATGCTGCACACAAAATGCAGTTATTTCATTTGCCTGCAGTATGTGTAGGCCTCCTTGTAGTCGTGAACTGTATAATCTATGTGATATTTAGACAGACATCATTAAGAAAAGAAAACATAAAGTACATAAGCAAGAAATATTTAAAACATAAAATGCTACTCTAAGTACATTGGTGCAAATTTTCAATAGCAGAATGCAAGTGTAGTGAGGGATAGATTACAAAGACTAACCTGATGTAAGCAACGTCTTTGCCCTCAGCAGACAGCATATTACTAACTGCCTTTGGAACTCCAAGAAATGCTGGACCGATGTTCATGATTGCTTTGATGTGCTTGGCACACCAACCAGGACCGCCACCACCTCCCATAGGTGGAGGTGATTCAACCCATTTGAGGAAGTGGAGGAAATAGATAACCCCCATGGAATGAGGTACCACCACCACCTTCTTATTGCCATTGGTCACATACATCAGCTCGATTTTGCTCTTCAATCTACTAAGAGCTTGGTCCCTGACCTGTTCATTCTCAATTATAAATAAAATTAGTACACAAACAATTAATATATAGCTTGGTATATTTGTTATTAATGATCTTCGCAGAAAGTGACTATAGAAGCCTAAGGGGACGTGTGCAGAGTGATACTATGCAACTATATAGACACCGCATGGATATGAATGACTCCATCTTGTTGCCTATAGCATTAGGAAGCACAAGATTTTTCATCTTCGTGGAATAAACCATCACAAAGAAATCGCTCGAGTTTATGGACACTTGTACAGAAAGAATTAGCTTTAAAATCCTTAGGCTAGAGTTTAAAATGAAAATGCATGTCAAAAACCTAAAGATGAGATCTATCTTCTGGCTACAAAAAAGCAACGCACTCCTATAATTTGTGGTAAATGTGTTAATTCAAGTCTTATATATCTATGATTTCTCAAAAAAAAAATCATATATTTATGTGTGAGTGTGTTTCGGAATACAATGGTATCAGTTCCATGTGTTGTCTGGATTCGCCCAAAGTATGGTTAGTGGTTGCAAATAAAGAATATTACATTTTTTTATTAGCTTACAAGAAGGAATAACAAATTTATTACCAAATACTTTAAGGCCATACAAAGAGACAAATTACAATTAAAGAAATAGACTACTATTCTAGGAAATAAATGCTATAACACCTGACCTCTCATAGACAAAAAAAAAGAGAATGTAAGTTGTGTTAGAAGCAGAGGAAGAAACATTATACCTCTGTATTTTGAAAAGAAAGCCTCCAATCATAAGCAGCCATATACATATTCTTCCCCTCGTATCCAATTTGCGCCAAATTCTCAATAAGAACAGCCCAAACAAAATATCCAGGAGCAAAATAGTCAGCTGCAACAAGTCCCGGAACTGCACGAACACGAATGCCTGGCGGATCAAGCCCGGTTTCATTGTGCAATGACAGGTGCTCCAACCAACACAAAGGCCTAAATTCCAACAGAATTCTCAGTCAGGATCACAAGTTCACATCAAATATAAGCTATTTAGATGAAAACAAAGTGAAATTCAACTATGTAACAACCACCTTTTGAAAATTTCGGTAAAGCTACCACCCCAAAGCCGCTTACGAAACAAGCCCTCCGCGCAAGGCCGGCCTTCCCAGAGCTCTAGGCCTCCCGTGACAATTCCAGGTACTAAAACCACCGGGTGAAGTGGGGTCAAGCCTTCGCGCTGAAGCCTCGCCCCTGGTGGTTCGGGCACAGCAAGTCCAGGCAAATTAGCAGGCAAACAATGGTACAGAAACAGGACAAGCCACCAAGTAGTGCACATATACCCAATTGCCCAACAGCAATAATCTATACATCTCCATTCCTTAGGCTGCCTCTTGCTCCTCCTCTTCTTTTGTTTCTCTAACACATTCTCAACTGTAGAAACAATGTCCCCACCCTTCCTTTCAACTTTTGGTGTCCCAAGTGATTCTTTCTTATCAACTTTTGGGGTTTCAAATGATTCAAACCCCAATGAAGAACACTTCACAGGCTCTAAATAACATAATAGCTTACGAAACCGAAGGATAGAAGCCATTGCATGTGAGTGAACTTGGGGATTAATTTACAATCATTGACAATAACGAGAATCACTTGAGATGTGCAAAGCATCAATTTTGTTTGAATTTCATCTAAATGCACAGGAACACCCCATCAATGAAAGTAACACATTAAGCTATAAAGAGTGTAAAATCAACTTGAACTCCAGAAAAATGCACAAGAACATACCTCCATTAATGAAAGTTGAGAGATGGAAAATACCAAATTGACTTGAATTCTACCAAAATGAGCAAAAACAAGAACAACCCATAAGAGGAAAAAGAGATGAAGTGTTGAGGAGAGCAAGTAGTGCAGAAAAAAAAAATGTTATGGGCTAGTGATAGGCGTCATAGAGACCAAGAAACAAACACATTATTGTTATAGAAAGAAACAACAAAGAGAAAGAGAAATCAGCTTGTTGAATCGTAACAGGAATGGGCTTTGGATTTAACATGTTTAACATGTTGCGGTGGATGAAACCAAGAAACACATGCCTAACGATTCGGCCTCTCACAAGACACATGTCTTGGTCTTTACATGCAAAACTTTCTCAGCTGTCACCATTGCTTTCAGAGTTTGCTTTTATTGCGTTTTTCTTCTCTCTCTTTCACGTGGACGCGTCTTTTGCACCCACACAATCCATCTCTCTCTCACTCACTCACTCACTCACTAATCTCTGTGTGTGTCTGAGAGTGAGAAAGGGGGGTCACTGAGTGCATGAACAACGGAAAATTTTTATGGGTTTTGTCTGAAGTGGACCAAATGGTAAGTAACTAGGTATGGAGCTGGGAAAGCGGTTGTGGTTTCTGCGTAGAGAGAGAGTTAAGAGAGAGAATCCAAGGAAGAACCCTCAATCATCGGAAAAAAGCACACACTACGAAAAACACAGATACCCAAATCGTCTTCGGTGGACCTGCTGCAAATTGAGAATTTTTCATTGCAGAGACAGAATGATTGAGATGCATAAATATATGTGTGTGCATATATATATATAGAGAGAGAGAGAGAGAGAGAAAGAGGGGTTCAGGCACAGTATTTAAGGAGATGGCCCAGACGGGAATGGTATGATGATATTCTTGTTTTATACTCTCCTCTGTTTTCAGTTCTGTTGCTAGCTGATGATCAGAAGCAGCGAAGGTTTTGCTGACGAGAGAGTAATGTGGCTATAAAGACTTGGATTTTACGGTCGAAATTGTGTTTATTACACCCTTTTCACCACTGTGGGTCTGGGTTGGGTCATAGTTCTTATTGTGGTTTTATTAACTTTTTATTGTTTGTTATTGATTGCCGTCGTGACTTCGGGTTCTCAGTCGTGAACAGGCTAAAGACAAATAAGGGTACTTTAACCAAGTTTGATCATAGTCAGAGAAACTACAGAAACAAAGGGGTTTGTGTTTATGTATATGATAATGTTGTGATTATTAAGTTGTTCTGGATTACTATTTCAGAACTTAAAAACTCTGTTCCACAAAAGTAGTCCTACTATATTCAAAATTTAGGAAGTTTTTAGAGGTGAAAAGGAGCAAAACCTGCACGTTTGGTCCAGTAGGGCGAATTCTAAACTCCAATGTGATTTTTAAAGGTGTTGATCAGATAAGGGATTTCAGAGGCGAATCATAAAATCCGACAGCCTAAGAATAAAACCTTCACAATAAGGAGGGTTAGTTGAAAAAGAGAATTTGCAATCCTATAATATATTTGATTTGCTCCACATGTATTTATAAATAAATAAATAACACTAACATGATAAAAGAAAACCCAAAAATATAAGAAAAGTTGATCAAGCACAAACTTGTTCTTAAAATTACGTAGAAATAAGGAAATAAATTTAATTATTTAAAATTGCTAAATATCAAAAAAAAAAAAAAAAAATTGCTAAATACCAAAAGAAAAATAATTCAAATTCATTTAGTCTTCTAACAAAAGTCCCAAAACATTTAAAATTGGAAAAACACAATTCTCAAACTCTAAACTATTGAATTCGGCCAAAAGACAACCTACCTCGAAAGCGAAGTTGCTAATATTTGCGAGTTGGGCGATCAAATTATGCTCTTCCGAACAAAAATCATTCGAAAAAACTGGTCAATCCGTTCGTTTTACCTTTTGACGATTCTAACGATTTCCAAAACCTGTTATGTATCACGGATGATTGCACAAATTTGAAATTTGCAACGTTTTTAGGAGTTTAAAGTGACTAGCGAGTGGATTGATTCTTCGTAAAAATAATAATACTCCCTCTGTCCTAAAATAAGTGTCATGCTTTCCTTTTTTGTCTGTCTCAAAATAACAGTCCACTTTCCTTTTTGCAAATAATAAATTTCACATCTTTCTATATATGTTTTTGAGTTTAAAACAAATATTCAAAACTTAAAAGAACAAATTAGTAATTTTTCAGGAGACAATACATGTCCCACATTGGATTGGATTCTCTAATAATGATGTCATATTAATGGTTAGTGGGTGTACAAGATCTCTCATTTCCTTGAGAGGATCCTTATCCGGCCCACATGTTCTCTTAAAAATTATTACTCCTTGTTAACTACACTTAAATTGAAAGTAATAATAATGTCGGAAAAAATCAATCTCATATACGTTGCTAATTTAAGTAATCTAACTAATAAATTTAATTTAAACAATGCTATTATAATTAAATATTATGATCACAATAGTATATTAAATTTATAATTTATATACTATGAATACAAATTATAAAATAAATACTTTAGAAGTTAGCGGACCGGAGCTAGTAAGAATAGTGTTTGTCTTTAAGACAAATTTGGTCCCGCAACACTGCAAACTTGTGATAATTGTCTCCTTCCATTAATAGTAGGAGCACTACACACCAATAGAACAGGAATTGATGTTACATTACTCTCTCTTAACACTATTTGACTGAACCTGCCACGATGAACCAAAGCCCAATACATAACCCAAAAAGAAAAGAAAAGAAAAGAAAGGACCAAAGCTTAATAAAAATATTTAGGGTCTGTTTAATTTGCCACTAAAAGTTAGAAAATAGTTTTTCAAATGATTGAAACTTCAAAAAAATTTACGACACTAATTGACTGAACCTGCCACGATGAACCAAAGCCCAATACATAACCCAAAAAGAAAAGAAAGGACCAAAGCTTAATAAAAATATTTAGGGTCTGTTTAATTTGCCACTAAAAGTTAGAAAATAGTTTTTCATATGATTGAAACTTCAAAAAAATTTACAAAAAATTTTGTTTGGGTTAGTTCTTAAAAATTTGTTTTCTGAAAATGCAGTTATAAAAAAGTCGGCTCGCTTGTTTTGTAACTATCGAAATAGTTTTCTATTCTCAAGAGATTGAAAAAAGAAAATTGTACAATAAACTATATTTGGTTCAGTTTTTTGAAAATTGTTTTGTAAAAATTCAGTTATAAAAATGTTTGTTATTAAAGAACAATTTTTTATAATTCTCTGAAAATTGTTTTTTTGTTTTTTAAGTTTCTGATAAATGTTTTTAGAATTACAAACCAAGACTATTGGAAAACTTTCTTTTATAGTTTTATAAAAATAATTTTTTATTTTCTGAATGATTAAAAATTATTTTTTTAATGACAAATCAAATAGGTTTATTTTTTCATATTTATTTTCATTGACCGAGAAATTAACTCCAAAATACGATATATAATATTAAAGAAAGTAAAATGAGTGTGCATAAAGCTTGTCCCACATGGAAATCTCAAAGACCATTTGAAGTGGAAACATAAAGTCATAACCAAATAGTGTGGTGTCTAGAGACTTTATAGTCCATATAGCTCTTTTAGAATACGCATAAAAAATAATAATAATAATAATAATTAAATAAATAAAACTCTTTGAACCAAACAGAATTTCTATAATATAAACTTCGAAGTGGGTTGCGAAGAACTTTCAATATTAAAAACTTAATTTGAAAGCAGTTTTTAGTCTATCTTCACTCCAGACTAAATTAAGATTTGTGATTGTTTTTCCATCCGTTTTTTTTTTTTTTTTTTAACCCTCTAGTTGGTATTACACACGGTTAATCACAATAAGCCTATTAAATTAATAAACTCTGTTTTTATTTAGAAATAATATATTTTTTACCTCTCCACTATTAAATTCTAAATTTAAAAAAGTGTTATCACTTGGCGCTAGGTTAACCTGGTTATATGTTTGGGAATGCTACTAAAGTTATCCTAACCAAATTTAGAGTTCAGCCCAGCATATGAGCTCAGCTAAGTTGGAGACTTGGAATAAGTTAACCTAACTAACTCTATAATTGAAGTATTGTTGGAACCATCTATGCATTGTATTTATTTCATATACTTTTTATCACATGAAATACAATTTGCCATAAATTTATGTGCTCAGGGCGAAAGTCTACTTTTAATAATAACAAAAATAATGTATTACAACTTGCTTTGGCTTGTGTAATTGTCTCACAAGCACTTCTCTCATTATTTTAGGTAGCATGACAAAATATGTAATTCTAAAAGATTACTGTCTTCTCGCTTTTGTTTATTATGATGACGAAAATTTTAAGCAGCAAAAGTTACGGGCACATGGTCTTATTTAAATTTGGCAAACTTATTATGGTGACTTATTGGTAACTGAATAAGAATTTTTTTTTTTTTTTTTTTTTTTTTTTTTTTTTCTCGTGGGCTTAAAATACACACACTCACTTTGCCCGTTTAAGAATAGAGATGGCAAATTCCCCATCCCCAACGGGACCCCGCCTTGTCCTGCCCCGCCTCGTTTATAACGGGGATGGGGATCCTTTTAGCTAAACGGGGATGGAGATGGGGGCAACTTACGAAACCCCGTCGGGGCGAGGGCCAAGGGCGGGAATGGGGTAAACCCGCCCTGTCCTGCGCCGATCAAGTGTGAAGTTACTAATATACCGTTACATATAATAATTTATTACTAAATTAGATTTATTTTATATATAAAAATAAGAAAAAATGTGTTTTTTTTTTAATAAAAAAAATTATGAGGCCGGGGGCAGGGGC